TTATCCCTTTTCATGAACCGGCTAAACTAGTGAAACCTGTCAATTTTTATTGCTTTCCTGGTTCGTTGACTGGTTAACCAATTCTTGACTGGTTCAGTTACTCTCCAATTTTTCTGCCTTACCCAAACAGGACCAATGACTAGTTTAACCGGTTGCATCAGCCGTTCCGATTCAGTTTTTAAAACGTTTGCTATTTATAGATGGAAATAAGCTTGCTCAACAAGTCACTCCTCTTGAACGTTCCTTGTCTTACGCTCCAAGTTGCATTTTTATTTTATTATTTTTTGTTTTAGCAGGCCACTTAAATTAGTAATGATAATTTAACTTTTCCCCTCATTACTAATTTTTTCATTGACTTATTTTCTTGAGATTATGCCCAAAAGCTTTGGAAACTTTGTCAGCTTCTCAATGTTGAGACCTTTGGTGAAAATGTTAGCTCTTCACTTGAATTATCTTGATCTCTCCTGCTAGTACCTTTTTTTCGAATAAAGTGATACTCCATCTTTATATGCTTCGTTCTCGCATGAGCACTTGGTGGTGCAAATCCTTCAACAATTGCGTTAACCATGTGCTCTTCTTTGTTGCCATTATTCCTGCATGATATTATGCTTATAGTGTTGAGAATGATATTGTGGTTGCCTTTACTGCACCAAGGGACAACTCCAGAACCCAAGCTAAATGCATAACTAGTGGTTGATCTTCTGGTATCACAATCATCGGCATAATCAACATCACAATATCCTTCTCGTTTGCATGCTACTCCACTTTCGTAGAATATACCAAGGTCAAATGTCCCTCTTTATATCTCAAAATTCTTCGATTTGCTCCCATAAGCGGATTTTTTTAGAGCTTGCATAAATCAACTAACCACTCCAACTGCAAATGTAATATCTGGTTGAGTGAGTGTTAGATATATCAGACTTCCCATTATCAATCTGTACATCACTGTATTCTTCAAATCTTTCCTTCTAATATGCTTAGCTTGGAGTTCACTTTTATTGAAAGTACAAGAGGTTTGCTTCCAATTATTTCGTACTTTTAAAAAGATCTCTTGCATACTTCTCTTGACATAAAAACAATCCTTCTTGCATTCTCTTCACTTCTAATCCAAGACAGTGATTCAGTTGTCCAAGTTCCTTCATCTAGGTGCGAATTGATAATTTTCCTTGGTCTGCTAAATTCTTATTCATTGTCTCCAATGATAATGAGATCATCTACATATATCAGGATTTTTTATAGTCTCCTTTGTCGAGCTTTCACAAAACAACTCAAATCAGATGATGCAACCTTACAGCTATTACGAATGAGAAAGTCATCAATTTTCCCATACCAAGCTCTAAGGCTTGCTTCAACCCATATAAGGCCCTTTTCAACTTGCACACATATCCAGGATTGAGTTTGCTTTCAAACCCTTTAGGTTGCTTCATGTATACAACTCAATCAAACTTTCTATTTAGAAAGGCATTCTTCACATCCATTTGCCACAAATTCTAATACTTATTAGCTGTAATCGCTAGCAACACACGAACATTCGCAATTTTGGCTACTGGACTAAATATCTCATCATAGTTCAATCCATATTACTATGAAAAAACCACTTTTCACCAATCTAGCTTTATATCTTTCAAATGATTCATCTAGATGAATCTTTATCTCATACACTCATTAGCATGATATTGGTTTCACACCCTTTGGCTTTGGAATTAAATCCCAAGTTTGACTTTCTACAAGAGCATTCATCTCTTCTTCCATAGCCTTCCTCCATTCTGCTTTCTGAAATGCTTCTTCAAATGACACTGGCTCTTTTTCTTCTTCTACCAAAGCAACATTGGCATACTTTGGATTTGACTTCCTTGATTGGCTTGATCTCTTCCATTCTAGTGCTGAAGTCTCTACAACCAATTGATCTTCCAATATTTATGTAATTGGATGATCATCTGGCTTTGTTCTCTAATAAATGCTGGCGTTGTTATTTAATTTCTTGATAATATTGGCATTGATTGAATATGCCATCATGACTTGGTTTTAGTAGCCTTGTGTTTTACTAAGTAATTATGGTTCCATATCAGTGAACTCACAATTCCAAACTATGCATGAGTAGAATCTCCCCCACGTACAATTATGTACAATGATGTCACACGGACCGGACCTAGAGTAGCTTCAATGCGTAGATTCTTTTTTGATATGGAAGAACAAGCTAAGCTGCAACCACAGAGCATACTCAAAACCAAAACTCTGATACTACTACTAGGATTTGTGAGCGGATAAAACCTAAGATACTTTAGGAAATAAGAGGGACTTAACTAAGAAAATTTTATTGCAAATTCAAACTACAAAATGCACTAAACTACAAACTTTTTCTCTTCCCTCTCCTTGCATGCCACTCTTCTACTTCCTCTTCCTCTTTCCTCTCTTCCACGCTTTGCTCACCACCCCATCGCAACCCCTTCTTTCTTTTTCTTCACACACCACTTGATGCACAAAATGACTAGCCAAGTGCACCATTTATAGTTAGAAATGAGCTTGCTCAACAATCCACTCCTCTTGCTTGAAACCTTCCTTGTCTTACTCTCCAAGTTGCATTTTTATGTTATTGTTTTTTCAGTGGGCCCCTTAAATTAGTAATGATATTTAACACAATATACTTGGCTATCACTTCGTTTAAAAACTTATTTGCTTATTATTTTTTTCAATTGATGTTTAATACTTTTCACTTTTTTAATCTTTTTTGACATATTAGGAGGGAAGCAGAGCTCATTCAAAATATTGCCAATGACATTATGCAAAAATTGAACCGTCCATCTTCAACCGCACTAGCAAACATTGTTGGAATTAACAAAAATTGCGATCGTATTGAATTGTTCTTGGAAAGATTCTCTACAATTGGAATTTGGGGTATGGGCGGAATAGGTAAAACAACCATGGCCAAAGTTGTGTTTGCAAAATTCCGCTCTCAGTTTGACAGTTGTTGCTTTTTGGAAAATTTAAGAGAAGAGTCAGAAAAACATGGGTTAAAATATATACATGATAAACTTCTCTTTGAACTATCAAATGATACATTTCTTGAAAGGCTTAGTCGTAAAAAAGTTTTGATTGTACTTGATGATGTTAGCAACACAAGTCAGTTAGAATATTTAGAAAATGAAGCTCCTCGTTTGGGACTGGGTAGTAAAGTCATCATAACAAGTAGAGATCAGCATGTACTTGATGAAAGAGTTGACAAAATACACAAGGCCATAGCATTGAACTATGATAGCTCACTTCAGCTTTTCAACCTCAAAGCCTTTCGAAAGAATGGTTATAAAAGTGAGTATAAAAAATTAGTTGAAAAAGTGGTGGCCTATGCCAAGGGCAACCCATTAGCCTTAACTATTTTGGGTTCATTTTTGCATTCCAAAACTATAAAGGAATGGGAAAGTGCATTGGTTAAATTGGAGAAGAGGACCTATCAAGATATTCAAGCTGTGCTAAAATTGAGCTATGATGGACTAGATGACGAAGAGAAAGAAATGTTTTTAGATATTGCTTGCTTTTTGAAAGGTGAATCTAAGGGAGATGCAATAACAACATTAGAGGGTTGCGGCTTTCATGCAAGCATTGGTTTGAGAACCCTTATGGATAAAGCACTGATAAGTATTGACTATGACACTGTGCAGATGCATGATTTAATCCAATCAATGGCTTTAGAAATTGTTCGTCAAGAGAACATAAAAGATCCTGGAAGACGAAGTCGACTATGGAATCCTGATGAGATCTATGATGTACTAAAAAATAATCAGGTAAAGGGAAACATTACTTTTCTAACAAGACGTGTTACCAACAATTAAGGAGAATTGTTAATACAATGCAATTAACTTACTTTCATTTGGATGTTGTTCAGGGATCTGATGCAATTCATGGCATAATCTTAAATTTGTCTGAAGTTAGAGATATACAATTGAGTATTGATACCTTTAAAAAGATGACTAATTTAAGATTTCTGAAATTCTATTCCCCCCGGGATGAAAGATCATGTATAGTGAATCTTCCTTCAGGGCTGGATTCATTTTCCAATTCATTAAGGTATCTCCAGTGGGACAAATTTCCTTTAGAGTCTCTGCCATCATTATTTTGTGCTGAGAAACTAGTTGAACTTCGCATGCCTAACAGCAACCTAGAAAAACTATGGGATGGAGTGCAGGTATAAAATGCAAATATGATGAGTTTTGATTTTTCTCCCTATTTTAATTGAAATTTAACACTTTGTATCCTATGTAATATTTTTCTTTTTAATTGTTGCAGAACTTGGTGAATTTAAGGAACATAGACCTTACTGGATCTAAACAATTAATAGAGTTGCCAGATTTCTCAGCTGCTCAAAATCTTGAAGTGGTTTATCTTTCAAGTTGTGAAAGATTATGCCATCTTCATCCATCTATTTTATCTCTCCCAAGATTGCATGATTTGAAACTTTCCTATTGCAAAAACCTAAAGAGTTTGAAGATGGAGAGTCATTCAAATTCTCTCTCAAGCCTACTTGTTAATGGTTGCTACAGTCTTAAGGAATTTTCATTCTCTTCAAACAAATTACTTAATTTAGACTTACTTCTAACAGGCATTGAGATATTGGACTTATCAATGGGCCATATGGAGCAACTCCAACAACTCTCTCTTAATGGCTTGACATTAAAGAATCTTCCAGTTAATGAGATTTGTTGCTTGAGATCTCTTCGGGAGCTTTATCTTTATGGTTGCATAGAAATAATTGACAAATCAAAGCTACATATCTTATTTGATGCTTTGCTATATCTAGAATCAATTGATTTGGATGGGGCATGCAGATTAACTGAACTTCCAAACAATATCAAGCATCTCTCAAGGCTAAAATCTCTTTACATAAACAATTGCAAGAGCCTTCAATCTTTACCAGAGTTTCCACCATCTATTGAAAGATTAAATGCTTGCAACTGCATCTCATTGAAGACACTACAACTCACTTCTCATTTTGAATCTTCATTATTGGCAAATGAAATAATCTCGGGTTCAACACTCTGTTCCTCAATTAGTTATCTTAGAAATCTTTGGGACCTTGATCTTAGTGGTTGTGAACAATTGCATGAATTGCCTGAAATCATCAATTCCTTATCTTCATTATCTTCATTGGATTTGGAAGGAAGCAATGTAGAGAGCTTGCCTGCCAACATCAAGCATCTTTCAAATCTAACAGGTATTTGGTTGAGAAATTGTAAAAGACTTCGTACTCTACCAAGATTGCCACCATCCATTGAAACAATTAACACTGATGATTGCATATCATTAGAAATTGTACCTCCCTCAATAACTTGTATGCCACAACTGACGTTCCTAAGTTTGAAACATTGCTTGAAATTGGAGAATCGTTTTTATCCCATGTTATAAAATGTGCTTGTTTCTCATTAAAGCGATCAGTGTACACCAACAAAAGAGGTGGTATTTGTTACCCTGGAAGAAAAGTTCCAAAGTAGTTTAAGCAGAGAACAAAGACTTCCAACTATATAACTCTTGAGCTTCCTTCAACCATGAACAATCTTGTTGGCTTCATTTTGTATTGTGTTCTATCTCGTCGCTCTAGCGGTCACTTGCAATGCCAACTTTATCATGATGGTAAACAAGGAAAACCCTTAACCTTTGATATGGTAACAAAAGAATTTATTTCACATCATGTTTATCTATGGTGTGGTCCTGCCTCATTGATATTCTTCCCGATAACAATGGACGATCAAGACACCAATTACAGGCCAAAGGTATCATTTGAATTCTCTGTTGTTGAGACAATCCTAAATAAGGGCTTGTTTGAGAAAACAAAACATGATGGTGTGATTGAGGCATGTGGGGTTTGCCCAATATATGCCTCGGAATATCACAACTTCCTCCAACAAATGGAAATAGAGTCAAAGTTGCTTGTCCAAAAAGAGACTTGTCATGATGCTGATGAGCACTCACTTTATGGAATACTAGAATATGCTAGTTCCTCATTGATAAAAGGCAAATGTGACAATTTTGAAGGAAGCATTGTTCCAAAGTGGTTTACAAGCAAAAGTTCGATTATGTGGTCTAGAAGACCATGTGTGAGTGTTCAACTTGGTCTAAATATTAACAACATAATAGGTTTCATCTTCTGCTTTGTTATACCTCATTTCTCCTCAAAAGAAAGGGATCTATGTCACTCGTCATGTCGATGCTGTCTATATCGTGGGAGATGTTGGCGTAACTTTTTGGAAGGTCCAAGAGGATGGCATTATTCAATGATAAAATTGAATTCAGATGATATTTTTCTGTGGTATGATCCCCTCTTCTGTGAACTCATACTGCACAAACTTCGACAAAAAGGAAAGGATTATAGTGAGAAGCTTAAATTTGAATTTTACTTTGGGGATTGTTTAATCAAAGAATGCGGTGTTCGCCCAATATATGTCTCAGAGTACACAAACTTTGTTCAACAAAAGAAAGTGAAGGAAACTACTCAAAGAAAGAGGCATCGGAACATTGATGATGACCGACACCAACTCCCTCCAACAAAGAAGTCCAAGGAGTCTTCAATCATTCAATCCAGTCCCTTGAATTTTGAGTCCAAGACATCTCATAATGTCCATGATTTGCTTCTTATTCTGTCCCAGTTGAATTTGGAATCTTCAAAGAATCACACTCATCACAAATAAATTACCTAGGATCCACTACTTGATCGGTATGGATCTCTCTTTCATTTCATCTATTAATTAAGTTTGACTTTGGTACACCATGGCTAACCTGATAAGCAAATATAGATTATGCTTTTAAATATGTTTCCTTAATTGGTAATATATGTAATTCTATTAATACATTTGAATCCAATTATTTTCAAAATTAGGATTTCTTACAATGAATACGTATCTTCTCAGACAACTTCACTGATATGTTTCTTGACGCTGGAGTCCAGTAAAGGAAAACATAATGGGAAATTTGCTATGTCTAACTTAGCTTCATTAAATAACGTGATAAAAAAAAAGCGTCAGTGAAATAAGCAACCAGAACTTGAGATGATTAGATTTTGGATGAAGATGATTATTAATTTATATTAACTAATATTATTATATATGCCCTCACGTCTTTGCAGTTTGACATAGTTATGTTATTCAGTCATCATTCTCAGCCAAAAAAAAGCTGACGGTGAAAACGATGGATGTTGCTGTTTCGCACTCTCTACTCAACCAATTTCTTCAAAAAAGCTTGTCTGGAGGTGAGGACACCCGCATAAAATTGACATGTTCATATTGTTCTCGGAGATAAAGGAAAAGTGATGTTTGACATTAAGATGGTTACTAGTCTCGAGAGTCAGACTTTCTTCTGTTTTCTTTCATAACAGCTTTCTTCTCTTAGTTATGCTTTCTTCTATTTCTCTGTTTTTAGAAAGCTGAGTACTGAAATGTGTATTTGTGGCTTTTCAATTTAAACTTTGTAATTTAAAAATTATCTTCAAGTTATCATTAACTTCAGTTGTAGATCCTGACGACAGACATCGACTGTACTGTCCAATTATTCTAATAATATGGAAAATTGACAGAGACCAGACGTGACTAATTACTTTTTCTTATATTTCATTAAAATTTTGTCGTATTAATTAAATGGTTGCTTTTTCTTATATTTCATGAAAATTAATTACTTCCTACATTGTTTTCTTTTTTAACCATTAGATTAAGACAACATCAGTTATTTAACCACATTTCTTTAATTTTGATGAGGTTGTTAGAAGTGATTTATATAACCAAACTTGAGCATAGTCGACATCATAGTTGCAGCACACAGCCGCCTTGACTGAATATGTATGTATCGTGTGGGTGACAATTTTAGGGATAGTAAATAAATATGTAAAGTTAGAGATATTCTGAACAAAATATATAATCCTATTGATTTGTTTAAATCCTCTTTATTTTTAAAAATTTGGCTTTGATTTCTTCTTGGCTTGTCACATTATGTGAGTTTCTTCTCAAACAACTTCATTGGTATTTTTCTTGATGTAGAAGTCTAGTCATGCAGCAACAAGTAATGTGCAGTGCAATTGGATTGAAGGATAACATGTCAGGAAACTTGGCATGTGGTGGTACTTCATTAGATAACATAATAAATCATGAAAAAGCTAAAATAAACAAAACTTGGGTTGATTAAGTTTTTATGGACTGAAATTGCATGCCTCTCTTTTCACAGTTTTTTCTCCCAACTCTTTTACACAAGTCATATCAATTACAATGAAGTGGTGAAGCTTTCATCTTCTCTGCATGTCATAACTTATTGGTGATCAAATGTTGCAACTTTCACTTTTTTGAAAACTACTTTTCATTTGTTCTTCTATTTTGCAGGATTTCTGTCTGTTTACAAGAGTTCAACTTCTACAGCAGAGGCTTTGGAAAAGAATCTTCATGATTTAGCCAACTGTATTTGTAGGTATAAATTGTGGTGAAGCAGTGAAGCTTTTTTCTCCTCTGGATTTCATAACTAAGTATTCATCAAATGTGGAGGGGTGTGTCGATTGCTATCACAGCTGATGCTGACTGCAGCAAGCAGAGGTTAGACAGTATCCAAGAAAATTCGCGGAATTGATTTTTAGTTACATATCTTCTTTCCGATGCAAGCCCTATATTCAATCACTTACACATATTAACTAATTATGTTCGCCCGTCTTTGCAGTTTGACATAGTATATCACTATATTGTATTCAGCCATCGTTCTCGGCCAAGAAAAGCTGACAGTAACAACCATGGATGCTGTGCTTCATGTGCTATTCTCAACCAATTTCTTCAGAAAAAGTGTGATGTGTTCATCAGTTTTGGAGGTGAGGATACCCGCATAAAAATGATGTGTTGATGCTGTTCTCAGAGAGAAAAGAAAAGTGATGTTTGGCATTAAGAGGGGTGGGCGTTGAAATCTGAATGGGTACGTGTGGCTTTTCGAATGATTTAAAAATTATCTTCAACTTGTCATAAACTTTAATAGTAGATCATGATGACGGACACTGACTGTGCTGTCCAATTTGTCATGTTAATTCAATGGTTAATAACACACTGTATAATGACTTAATGAGGCTTGAATTATCCGGCCGTGCAAAGGTATTTTATGACATGCATGTAGTGCGTGTGATTGTTGTAAATATTAAAATTCCAGTTTGTTACAAGGAATATACAAGTGATATGATTCGTACAGTAGAATCTTGATCAAATGTTGAATAATGACACGTATCATCTCATCATCTACATTAATCACGCTAATGCTTTATTTGGATGAGAAGAAAAATAAGGAGCAAAGAAAACTGAGGGATAAAACTCTTAAACATAATTTATTATTTTTAAAAATTTCTCTTCCTAGTTTTCTCTCATCCCTTTTTTTTTCTCTCACTTTTCCCTCTATCCAAGACAAGTTTAAATGATTTATAGGAACTAATTGCCAAGTCAATGCAAAAAAAAAAAAAAAATCCCACGATCATCCAATTTTACTTTTACAGGCTTTGAACATTCTTAACAATCATGATTTACTAAACTCAAGATCAGTGCTGAGTAGAGCTGTCATTAAGGCCAGCCCGGTCCTAAAAGGCCAACCCTTGAAGGGCCAGGACCTAAACGAGCTGACCCTAATAAACTCGATTATATGTCAAGGTTTTCTTTTATAAGGTCTAGTCTTAACCCTTAGAGCTAAAGGACTGGCCCTCAGGGTCTTGGCCCATTTTTTTTAAAAAAAATTAATTTAAAATTATAAAAAATATATTTATAATCACAAAAAAATTTATTATACATAAAATTAAGTTTAAGAAAATAAATTTAAATCAATTTACACCATAACAATAAAGAAAATTTAAACATTTAAGTCTAACATCAAATAACAATATCAAAGTTAATACTAACAAAAATTAGACTTAGCTAACATTATTAGCTAAATCTTAATAAATGAATGAGAGATGAACGAATGCGTTTAATATGTTCATTTCTTTAAATTATATATTTAATCTTTTATTTTTTTTATATTACAATTTTTTAAAAAAAATAACAAGGGCTTAAAAAGATTAGCCTTTTTATTTTTGGGCTTAAAAAGGTCAGCCCGACGGGCTCAGTTCTAATTGACAGCTCTAGTATTGAGACCAGACTGGACCGGATGAACTGTCAACCGATGAAGAGAACAGGCTGTCTCGGGCTTTGGATCAGTAACTAGAATAAAACCAGGAACCAGAGCAGGTTGTGGAGAACTGGATCAGCAACAGGAACAAGAAGGATGAGGGGTAGAGAAACTGAGAAAGCAAGACACTTGACGATCTTGGTTTACTATACCCAAGATGCAGTTCTTGACGGTTGACAGTGGCTACATCTCTGGGACGAATTCCAGGCATACATGTCATGATAGAATACCATGCTTCAGCGAAGAACAAGTTAATAAAGCATACGTGCTTGAACATAATACCTTCCAAAGAAACACGCGTAGCATTTGGCAATAAGCCCTCACTCATGTTCAATCAAAGACAGAGATGAAGTGAAATTGACACGTAGAATCCTTTAAGCCGTATGACCAACCCCGATTTCTTTCATTATAAAACTAATTATACGTCTCAAATATATATGTCGTCAAGGTCAACCAGATATAAAATCAGCACATAATTTTAACATTTTAAAAAAAAAACAATAATAATAAATCACTTCTCGAGAATCCTCGAACAATGGAGTCGCCGGAATGGTATGATCCTCCAGTCTCAAGCCCAATAAATTGGAGGACAAAATAACTCTCGCTAACAAAAGAAAGACTATAACATTTCAAACATGGATAAACCCACTCCTGGTCACGTAAACATCATTTCAGAAGGGTTCTTGTCAAATGCTCTCTAGCCGTAGCCCATGCTTGAGTTAATGTCTGCAATATTACAAGCACACCATTAGAATGAAGGTCAAAGATACCGAGTCATCAACATCCAAGATTTTCAGTACAACCAAGTCAAAAATAACTTGTGCACAATGAAATATAGCTTGCCAAAATCAGAAATTTAAAAAAAAAAAAAAACAAAATAGTTTGAGAATTACGTAACACCAAAACGTAATAATTTAGCAGCCGACAGTCTATATGCCGATGTATATGACTTTGCAAAGTAAAATCAAATAGGAAGTGAAGACAAAAACTAAAACAAAATTGAATTACCTGTTCAGATAAGGGGGCGTCAGCATCAATGCTATGAGAGGTCACCTTTTCAGCAATGAGGGATCCATTTGTTTCAAGTATCATCCTTAAAGGAAGAAAAAAAGGGTATTAAGAAAATAATTATAATTTTAAAGAGAAATAAACATTTTAGTTAAGAAGACAAGCATACCCTCCATCAACAATCTCATCAAGACATAAAAGGATGAGATCCAAGTTCTCAAGCGCCTCCCTTTTGTCAACATTGCTCCTGAAATTTGAGATAATATATGCGCACGTTTTATGTCTTAAAAAACATGAGTAACAGGGAACTCTGCACGTTTTATGTCTTAAAAAACATGAGTAACAGGGAACTCTAATCCTAAATCTTGAAAGCAAAATTTAACCTAAAATACCTCAACAAATAGGTGACTGCATCAAAGAAACCCTGAAGAACTGAAGCCAAAATGAGCTCATTTTCATCATCACCACCAGTGACAAAGAAATGCAAGTCTTGAACAAACTTGTATATAACGACATTATTCTCAATTAATGTTACCTCAGCTGCAGATAATAGTAAATAGCACATCAGTCATAACTGAATAATGAAACACGATAAACATAACTACTGATCAAGTCAAGAATTGGCAATAATTGCTTAATTCATTATTAAGACAGGGCCCAACACTACAGCTTAATTTTGAATGAGCATAAATTCTTGACCCACGTTAGAGGTTTTGAAGACATATATGCATAACATAAAACTTACAACAACGAAAAATCATGTGACTTCATGTAATGATTAGTTTCTGTCCATCAGTAAGAACCTCTGCACTGACCTTCTGTCCGAGCATTTGTCTTCACAGTCTTATTGAATACTAACTTCTCAAAAGCCAATTTTGCATTGTTTGTTGGCCAGTCATCTGAATAGTACTTGACTGCTACACGCTTCCCTTCAGAATCTAGAAGAAGAATGTTCTTTACCGATGGGCATAAGCCCTATACAAGACAGGACATACCAATTCAAGTTATAAAATGTGTACCATATCTGTCACCACCTCTCTGGTGAAGAAAGGAAAAGAGAGCCCAAGAAACATTGATAATATAAGCTCTATAGAATCTTATTTCAATGAAAAAAGGTGAAAAACAGTGCCCATATGTAAATAACAGTATAACACAAACAAACTCAATTCAACTAGATGCAAGCCATCCTATTTCAATGTTGCCCAATCACTGCGTCCCTCACAAGAAGCTGCAAAGTTGTCGTACTTAGAAAATGGCAACTAACCAGTAACAGATCTAGAAACTGGCGACACCTTTGTTGAGTTTATTAACCAACAATTAGCATTCAAACCCTAATTGAAATTCTACTTGCCGTAAAAACGAAGTTTGGCTGTCAGAAGTGAGAAAACGAGTGTTACTAAACGGATCCGAAATAACAAGAAGAATATAACCCAGATTTAGATCCCATTTCCCAAAAGAATTAAATACACACACACACACACTCAAGCAATTAAACATCCAACCAGTCGTTTTAGACCACAAGAAGAAAACTATCAACAGAAAATAGATGAATTTAAAATCAATTCCCAGACTCAACAAGATTTCTGTAATTGCAGGAGTCCATTCTAATATCAAGGACTTCAATGTCAGATCCCTAGAGTTTGCTTTCTTTCCTAGACCTTCATCAGAACTATCGAAAGTATCCGTAATGGTTAGCTACTGCATCTTGATTTGTGTTCAGAGCAAGATTAGAGCTACGAAAATACTAGGAAAGATAGGATGCAGAAGTAAGAGGACCCAAGAAAGACTTACATGAGACGCCATTTCTGAGACGAGAAGAAGGGTCACAGAAGCTTGAACTTCGCAGATCTGTGATCTGGCTTAATAGAGGATCGTTTCCTTCCTAAGAGGGAAGGACAATTTTGTAAATTGCGCAAGTGATTCTTCGTTCTTATTGCCACAGTCTCACGCATAAATAAGTAACCGTGACAACCCAATGGACCCCTCGGACCAAAAACAAGAAGGGAAATATCATTTAAGACCATAGGAGCAAATTAATATCACCAAAGACCAAAAGATTTTGCAGTTGTGTAAAAAAAGCAAAAAACAAATGTATATCATATTTTAATAATTAATCATTCATTAATTAATAAATATTCATTTATATTTAACAATAAGCTATATGTTAATTGATAAATTTAAAAATATAAAAGAACTTGTTTATAAGAAGAGACAAATGTAGATCATGTTTTAATACGTAATTATTCGTTGATTAACAAATATTCATTTACACTTAATAAAAAATAATTCGCTAGTTGACAAGTTAAAAAGAAAAAGAAAAGTAAGGGTTTATAATTTTTTTTTATCTAAAATTATTTTTAAATTGGTCCTTTAATCTTATAGTGACACCACATAATCTTTGATCCTTATTTAATATTAATTTGCCTCAATGGTTATTGAATGATATTTTCTTAAAATATATCAAATCAATTGAAGATATTAAAATGAATTGCATTATTATAGGTTTGCTCATAAATAATATAGTTCAAGAATAACTTTCTGAGTATCATCTTAAAAAGAATTTCATTTTCATTATCTAGGGTAAGAAAATGTCATTTCATTTAAAAAAATAAAAAATAAAAGCAATTGAGCATCTTTTGTTTTTAAAAAAATATTGCAACTTACCAAAATTCAAAAATAAATATTTTATATTGATCCATGCATATGCTTTATGGGTCTGTAATCAAATGATTATTTCTAAGAATTACAATGTTTGATAGGATCATTGATAGACATAATACTCCATCTATTACTTTATATAAGATATACTCCCTCTATTAAAAAAATATAAGACTTTTTTGGAGAGGTTGAATGTTGAAAAATATAAGGTATTTTGAGTCTTTTAATGTATAATCATTATTTTTTAAAAAAATGCCCCTATTAAATAGATTACTTTATATATTTTTAGGATGAAAAATTTTATTAAATAAGGATAAATATAAAAAGATAGGGTTAGTTTAAAGATAAGTAACTACTTTATTAGGGTGAAATTCAATTAAAAATACCTTACATTTTTGAATGGAGGAAGTATATTCTAAAATTTTTTTATATTTCAAAATATAAGACCTTTTATGAAAAATAATGAAGTATGCATTATTTTTTAAAAAATACTTTTCATATTAAAGTTTGCAGCAATATTAATTGTAAAGAGAGAAAATTATAATAAAAAGAATTAAAGGGTGGCTTTGGATTGTCACACTAATATTTTTTTTAAAAACACAATTAGTGTCAACCAATTTCCTTAACACATGAGTGATTCGATTGATTGAATTAAATTCTTTTTTTTTTTGGCCCAAGAAAACAAGAAATATATTGCGAATGAAAACACCAAAGTTCAACTACAGAAACAACAGAATACAAAAGAAAACAAACAAACGAAATCTCAAGGGTAGTCCTAGCATCCCCCGATGGAACAAAGATGCTTCCTAATTAAAAGCTGAAATAAAGGAAAAAGGTCAAAGCAAACATATATCTCAAAAATATCAAAATCACCAAATAACTCAGACCAAAAGGTATTGTCTCAGTAGCACACTCAGCATTATCAACATCAATATTCCTACTATCAGAGGCTTGAATGACTATATTTTCACAGTGCCAAGCTAAATCAAGAGGCATGCACTTGGTCCAAAAGGATTTGGGGGAAAAAAACATACATATATTTCCTATGCGTTGATATGTTGTTCCTTAATGTTGTTTCACATTGGACTCAGATATGTTCTTTTTTAAAAAAAAAAATTAAGCTGACACAAAAATGTTCTTCCACAAGTATCATGGTTATGGATTGATTTCTTGTCTAGATGCCTCCCTTGGTGGGTTTTGATTTCCTTTTGTAAGCCTTTCTTCTTTAATGTCTCTTTGACTATATAGGAGCTTTGGAAGTCATAAATTCCATGATTTATCATTTTGTTAATTATATAATAAAATTATAACTCTTGAATTTAGATGGATTATCCATTTTTTAATTAATAAATTATTTTACTGATACAATATTTATAAAAATAAGTATCGAAAATTATTTACTACTGTTTTCCAATTAAAAAAATGATATGTAAGTTTTTTAAACTTATTCTAATTTAATGAAAAATATGCCTTAAATATGTACAATTTTAGTATAACAAGAAAGTCTCTCTCTTTATTTTTATAATTAATTTTAAATTAATTATATTTTTTAAAAGCTATAAATTGAATTTAAATTAATTATATATTTTTTAAAAGCTATAAATTGAATATAACTTTTAAAAATATCACAATTCATTATTATTTATAAAATGACAATTATAAGTAATGAAATGTTCATACATAACAAGGATTATTTATGAAATTTAAAATTTAAGCATTATTTATGGGAAATCTAGTAGTCTTTCAGTCATTAAGAAGATACTTCTAATTACCAGAAGGATTATGCCTTTATGGCTTCGACAAATACTTCTCTTTTCCACATCACACCGTGAATTATAGGATCAATCAACTATACATTAACATTGAGATAAGCTGGGTATGTGTGAAGTTGTATGAACAAAACAGTGAATAATATTCATTCAAGGGCTGTAGAAGGAAGGACCACACTTGCATTTCCAGCTCTCAGGCTCATAGTTTGCATACTGAATAGCCAAATGGCTTCTTCTACTAATACTTGGCACTTGAATGGCTTCGCATGGCGTGCATCCATAACACTTGTGTTCACATCTTGGTGGGCTTGACCCTACTTTACCAGCCCCTCTTCTTTCATACTCTTCTTCCACCATTGTCTCTGCCATGCCCTTCTACAAATAGAGAATATTGCATTTACAGCATTTGAATATCGAGTTAGTCTTTTAAACATTCAGGAAGGAGAGAAGAAGAAAAATGAACATACATACCTTGTTTGGTTCTGTTGCGTATGGTGATGACTGTGGAGCCTCTTCTTGGCCTGGTACAGATTGAACACAAGAAGATATGTTATTTTGGTGAGAATCTCATGGTGTTTGAAGATAAGAAGTTTGAAGAAATGTCACAAGTTAATTTTTCCCTTTGAAAGAGAAATATATATCCTATACTCTCCGTCTTCTACATGTACATTCTTAAAACAGAGTGATCACACATGATGTAATTACCTGGATGGGAAATGATGGCATCAGTTTGTGGGATCGATCTCGTTGCTCCAGAAACCCAGACAAGAATCTGCAGAGCTAGCATGAAGAAACAGAGTCTGCCCTTCATAGTTTATCAGAAGCTCAAATGATGAAACTGTGGAAGAAGATGGTGGGATGCGCGTGAGAGAAGTGGAGTTTCTTTGGTCACTCACAGATCACGATATGGAGTAATTGAGAGGCTACCAAATGAGCTGGCTGGCTTTCAAAGGTTCTTGAGTTTGAGATTATGCATCACAAGCAAGTGTGATTCTGGTTTTGTCACCCTCAGCAAGCTTCACCTTCATTTGAAAACTCACTGGACTTTTCAGAGGCGAAGAATAGACTGCTTTTCTCTCTCTTTCTGCCTTTTTACCTTCGATCGATTGCTTTGCTTTCAATACAAGTAAATCTCTCTCTCTTTCTCTCTCTCAAATCAGTCTAAAAGAGGAGCAATATATGTGTTGGTCCGGAAGTTCAGAATAACAGTACCTTTTTTTGGTCTGAAGCGCCTGCAGCATCCAAATATAATTATCTCATATATTTTTCATCATAATAAAAGTGAACAGGTGATATGACCTAGCAAAAACAATGAAAATGAAAATTACTACATGTGGTCTTAATTTGGGTCGTTTTCTCATTAAATTGGGTAACAAAAATAGTTAACAAAAATAGATGATTTGCTGGCCTGACTCAAGATGTAGCAGGTGTCAAATGTGAATGTCTGATAGTCACTGTTATGATGGAAGAGTAAAAAATTAATATACAAGTAACATAGGACTGTTAACTATGTCTTAGATGACTGATGCACTGTTTGATCCTGACATGTTTTAAGAGTAACAAAATATTTCATGATCACACTAATTTCACATTAAGTGTCAACCATAACTAAACTAGAGGATCAAACTGTGTGTCTGACAGAAATTGAAGGGATGAGCAGAAGAAATAAATGAAGGTAGTTGATGGGATTAAATGAGGAGGGGTCAACTTTGTTAGGGTTGGTTGGTGGGAAACAGAAGAGACCAATCCAAATCCTTCATAGCCACCGATATATCCATCCGGGACCTTCATTCACTGTAAGCTATTTAATGATTCAACAGATCCCCAATTATGAATCCTTCGTCTCATTCATGATTCTGCATTGAACATGGCTTGCGCTTTTGAGCGTGTCACTCCAATGCAGTACCGGGATGCTGAATCTCCTTTGCTTCAAAAATCCTCATCACCTTCTCCTGTAATAAAGATAGGCTTGGCAATCACTGAGGATGGTTTATGTACTTTGACATGATTGGTTATATGCTTTTTTATTGGTAGGATGGTTAGTTATATACTTCCCTGACCCTAGTTGTAAATTATTTTTAATATATTTTATTAAAATTAAAAAAAAAATTAAGGGTGTGTTTGATTTTTAATTTGACAAAAATTTATTTAGTAAAAATCAATTTAGTAAAAATTAATTATTGTAACAAGATTTAATTTTAGATATATTTTTTTAAAAAATCAATTTGACAAACTAAAAATTGTTCGGATAATATATGATAGAAAGTGCTTTGAAATGTGTAATTACTAAAAAAATACAAATTTTATCATATGTGATTTTTTTATGTTAATGTTGATTTATTAAAAAATATATAATATTTTTATTTTCATTTAAAAAAATTAACAAGGGACAATATGGAAAAGAGGTGGTTAAAAATTTTAACTCTCACATTTAAAACGCCAAAAGCAACTCTCCCTAGCTTTTTGGAAAATAATTTTTGATGCTAATATGAATAAATTTTTAGAATGTACAGAAATAAAATGCTAAGCAAACAACTTTTACTTTCTAAAAGTTACAAAAGTCATTTTGAAATGTAGAAAATAAAATACTAGACACTAAATATCATTAACTTTATCTTAAACTTTAATAACTTTTCATTTTTACTCCAAAATTAATCTTCTATGTGCTCTATAAATAGAACAAAAGGAGCACTTAATTGTTAATCATACAACTTTTTTCTTCACTCGCCACAGTTATTCATTTTACCCCAAGTTCAGTTTGCAAATTGTAGTTTGTGCAAACTTTAGTTTTCCAAAGTCAACCTAAACGAGCTCTAATTTTTTTTTTTAAATGCCCTTTGTTTTGATATGCTCTAATTAACCAAACAATCTCCTTTAAATAATCAATTTCATTAAAGTTAGTTTTAAATATCAACTAATTTTAACTGAATTTTGTAATACATGTAAAATTATTAACAGGGATTAATAATAAAGACAGGAAAAACTAATAAATAAGATTCATTCCTTTTTGTTTAAGAATATGGGTCAAATTTTCACTGACTTTATGTCAAAAAGAAAAATCTTTACTGACTCGAGTAACGTGTTTGAGCAACAAGTCTTGAAGCCGTCGGTTGTACAGAAAACGAAAGAAACGTTCTTAAAGAGCTTAGAACGAAATTAACTGAGGCGTGCCCAAGAATTAAGTTGAAAGAAATAAGTTAAATGACTGAAAAAAGTTTTGTACGATATGGACAATAAAGGTTGGTTCATTTTATGGGCCCAACTTCTTGGGCTCTTTACAGCCCAATAATTTTAAGGGTCAACATTCAACCTCTTTTGAACCAATAAGCATTGTGCTCCCAAAAAAAAAAACCAACAACCATTAATTTTAGTGGAAGTGATAACCTGAAGGAAGGCTACCTCATTTAGATCTGAGTATCTGACGATGCTTAAATACCCATTTGTTTAAAATTAAAAAATAAGTAATTTTTTGGTAGTTTAAAGATTTCATAAAAAAATTATTTTATAGAGATTTTATAAAAAACAGACATTATTTTATGTTTGATTATAATAATAAAAAAATTATTAGTTAGTTATTTTTAAGTTTTATAATATCTTCCTTGATTTTTTTATAAAAATAATTTATTATTATATTATTTTAAAATTTTATGATATCTTTATGTATGTCGCCCGCTTCTTTAAAACACTTTCTTTTATATATGGTATTAGATTATTTTAAAAATCCACTTAAAGTAGCCACTTAAAATAATAAAAAATCTTCTTTTTATTCTAATTATTTTTAAAAATTTAAACAAACATAATAAAATAATTTTTTTTCAAAAAAATAAGTGATTGTTTCATGAAATAATTTAAACCAAATAAACCCTAAATTTGATTAGATACTAAACAAAAAAAATTGTTGGATAATATTTATTACACATGCCATGTTGTGTGCATTGAAAGAAATAATATTATTCTCTTGTAGTTGTATATAATAACATTAAACAAGCATGAAATATTTGAGGTCAAGATTTCTGGTTTTTTCCTTTGAGTATCTTACAACTTCCTTTGCATCCAATCATTTATTTTTAATCAATGATCATTAAATGGTTAAAAATATCACAGTTTTTAAATTAAAGAATAGTGACTACTCCTGAAAAAAATCCTTTTGGGCATGTTTGTACTAAAAACTAAATAATTAAAACAATAAAATTAAATATTGTCCTCATCTTTATTTAATTATTTTTATTAATATTTCAGAAAAAAAGAGAACAATACTTCTATATTTTATTAATAAACTTGCTTACAAGACCTCATGCTAGTGAGGCCAATTTAATTTTTTTCAAATAAAATTATAATAAATGATAATAACTATTATCTTAGCAAACTAAATGTGTAAATGCAAAAATTTATATAATAATTTAAGATGTGTGTGTGTGTGTGAGAATAAATTAAATTCTTTTATGATCTATTAAAATCAAGATGGGACAAAGTTTTCTGATGAAATTTCCAACTTTTCTTTGGAGAGAATTAGCTTGAGATGGTTGACAATTTCTTCTATAAATATGTTCTTTATAACTCATCACAATCATTTAGATGAAACATTGAAATTTTAATCTTGGGTCTGATTATTTTTCTTATAAATTAATCTAAATTTTTTGTTGTGAAAAATTCAATTCATAAGTTGTAGAGGAGAATTGGTGAGGAAAAAACAAACATTTTATTAAAAGCACATTGATTTTTAATTAATTTCATTAAAGTTTATCAGGACTTGAGTAATTGATGCCCCCACGAAAATTACTCCAACGAAAAAAAAAAAAAAGAAGAAGAAGAAGAAGAACATATTACTTAGTTAGATCTGTACTTCACTATATATATATATATATATATTAGGAGTGCTCAACTTGTACTCATCCTGCTTGGCCCAGTTCCATCCCAATCGTATTGGAACAGGGTCTTGTCCTGGATCAAAAACAATCAGGATGGGAAAGGGGTTCGGGAAGGGATAGGACGGGACACAGGATTACCCTTGTCTCGTCCTATCCTGAATATTATACATATTATTTTAAAAATATATATTAAATATATTAATATAATTTATATTTATATTAATTATATCAATTATAATTGTAATGCGTGCAATTCTTATTTAAAACTAAAAGTTTTTATATTGATAATTTTAGTGACACAGAGTAAGCAGTACACAATAATATCTTTCTTTATAATATATTATTTATATTAATATAATTTATTCTTATATCTATATATTTAATAACTTTTATTTATATCGTATTTCTTGCTTTATTTTTAAAAGAGTAATTAGTTTAACATATTTCAACTAAAACAGAAGAATAATGACTTAATATTATGTCTCGCTCATTTGTTGTATTTGCTTTTATAGCCTAAAAATTTCTTATAATTGCTATTATGCTATATTATATACTTTGTAGTTGTTATTGATGTAATTTAATAATTGACTTTAAATTACTATGATTTATGTACTTATATTGTTTTAATTTTAAACTTAATAAATTACATGATTTAAAATTTTAATAAATGTTATTATTCAGATTTTTCTCTTACATTGTCTGATTTATCGAGATGATGAGGCATCCCAATCTCATTCCTATCTCATCCCAATTATTAATGGGATAAGATGACTTTTGGGACGGAATGAGATACAGGACAAAAATTCAGTTCTGATCTTTTTTTGAGACAGGACATGGAACAAGGGTGTTTTGATCTTATCTTGTCTCATGAACACCTTTATATATTATAGGAAGGTCTCTTAACTCTAAAAAAATACAATAAAACAAATAGAAATTATTGCATAAATTCAATACATCATATCATTTATAGTCTGTTCAATAAAAACATGACATGTTAAAATTGATTGAATCAAATAAAATCATCTACATTATTATTTTAAAAAACTTTATTTTGGAGTTTCTTGTCTTGGATCTTTTCTCTCTCCATCATCATCAATAATAATATAAATTTATATTTACAGCTATATAATATTGCATGTTTTTATTGGACAACCATGCATGAATGATATGGTGCATAAGGTCCATACAAAAATTTGTCATAATACGAAAGGTAAAACTAGAAAGAAAAAAACTCCTAAGATCTCTAGGGATGCTCATTTTACATTGTTGATATATACTCATGGAATAACAAAGACATATTCCATCTAACTAATATTTATATGATATCAACAATATATGTCATCATGGGGTAATGCATGTCGGCAGCTCAATTACCCAGGTCTTAATCTCAACAATGCTAATGTTTTGGAGAATTGAAAAACTATTTTGATGCAATATAATCGGCCTTAATTGAACCAGAGAGACAAATTAATTAAAGCTTATCTAGGCCGTATCCTAATCAGATCATAATTATATATTTATATACCAAGTTGTTGGAGATCATAATTAAGCAATTTAGCTTCAATCCCTCTTATATTTTGACGGGGATAATCAACCTTTCAGCATGATTATGCTATTTTGTTGGAGAAACTGAACAATCTTCTTTTTTCTCCTTTTCCTTGGAAAGTCCCTTTGTTCAAACAGAAAGGCAGATAGAATAATTGAATAATGCATTGTTTTTAATTTAGCACAGGCGGGATAGCGTATAGAGTTTTATGTGATCGATCAGATCAAGATTAATTTTTGGATATCTGATCGAGATTAATTTGTGTGCGTGGGTAATGAATAATATCACTTATTTGAATCCAAGAGTCGTGTAAGATTTGTTTAATATATTATATTATTGACACTGATGAAGATTCAAAGGTTTTTGTCAATCCCTTTCACCATGAATTAGATGTGTATTGTGCTATGCTTCAACCAACATTGTAGGATTCATCCTCAAAACAATATTGGGCCATCCGAAACTGGAACATATATAACAACATTATTTAATTACAACATTCCTTCTTTGCCAAGCTTTTATGTTTGGATTTATATAAATTTA